TTATATTTATAATTCAAATTATGATAACCCACATGCATTATCTTGCATTTATTATAATTAAAACCCATCTGCCTTTTATTTGCATAACTCACTAAATGATCTAAATCCTTTTGTAAATCAGCAGCATCCTTTTCACAGCCATCAACATCCAAGATCTTAATATCATCTGCAAATTTAAGTAATTTATTGACTATTCCTTCATCTATGTCATTGATTAAATAATAAAAATAAAGAGTAAAGGTCCTAACACTGAACACTGGGGTACCCCATTTGTGACATTAATCCAGTTTGTCTGGAATACATTTATAACAACCCCTTGCCTTTTTTCTATCCAACCACTTTTCTATCTTATTCTCCCCACATCTATAGATGGAATTCTTTTTACTCTAGGTGCAAAGGGTGGGGGGGTCAAAGTATGCATGTCACTTTTACAGAGTAATGCTCAAAACTTAATCAAACAACTTTATTATCAATGCATGTCCATAAACTTGGCATCAAAACATTTATGTTTATATTATATGTTTTAATTTCTTAATTTAAAAAGGAAATATTTAGATAAATTCTCAATCTTCCATTCCTTTTGTCAAATGATTCACCTGAATTCTCCATTTTAAGTTTTCTTCCGGCCTTCATTCAGGTTTCATTCTTCCGGCCGTCATTCAAGTTTCAGAATGACCAGCAGTTGGAAACAGCAACTATAGATATTGACAGAATTTAAAATAAGAACCTCCCATATTCTTTATTTCTTTAGATATCGATAAATTTGTTATAACCACCATAGAAGCTAGTGTCAGTTCTTCGTGCTCTTTAAATTACTTATTTAGTCATGCTTACTGGTCAGTAATACATGTTTATAACCAATAGAAAAGCCATTTTCTGAACTAAGTGATTATGGCATCTTTATGATGTTCTTTGGTGAAATAATTAACAATTAGTGAATTTATCATAAATTAGATTTCTATGATGCTTTCTGTACTTAAGAAATATTCTACCAAATTAGGAAGTACACAATAAATATATTTGTTTCCATTTTAGCTAACTTTAACTTCTCTTCACAGTTTTTCTTCCATTCCTATTAATAATTAATACTCAAATGTAAAGTTTTATTTTCAATTTTATAAAAAAAACTTAACTTATTGGTTACTTATTTCAGAAGATAGCCACTGAATAGTTAATAACTACATGTAAGAAAAACAACAACGTGTAGCCTTTGAAAAGAAAGTGACTGTTATTTTTGTTGTATGTAAGTTAATAGACATTGTATAATCAATTAATATCTACATATCAAACAGATGTAGCTACTACTTCTGTTGTTGTACAGAAGAATACACTATCTTTTTTTTTGCTTATAAACATTTTTTTTGTACTATTGTACAAGCTATACACTACACAACTCCAATACTTATGACTGTTTATTGTATCTAATGTATCAGTTTCTAGCATATATTGTCTTTCATAACATTTTAGAGCTTGTTGAGTGGATCGTGCTGTTGTTGTTTTTTTATAAACCTGTGTATCAAAATTATTATATTTATATTTAACTCTTTTTAAAATTGAAAACCCCAAGGTTTTATTCCCTGACTGGGTCCTGTGAATGATGTCATTATCCACAATTATCCTGTCATTATGCACAATTAGTCCTTTTTTTACAATTAAACACTGTCAGTATCATTCAGTAAAACTTAGTCTTACCACCTAGTTTAACATTATTAATTCTCTCAATTTTATATTTGGACTGCCATGCTCAGTATTAGTTTAATATTTTTCAATAACATTTGTTTCAAAGATTGTTTATTTTTACTGGACGAACATTGCTGCTGTTCCACCAGATATATTCATTACATAAACAGGTGATGTGGACAGAAAATTTGCTAAAGTTGTGAGATTACTTGCAAGAATTCTGTTTTATTTCAGTGTTAATGAGTCTAGAGGATTTAAAATATTGTGGTGTGCTCCGATCCAAGTTTGAAAACTGAATTTTGTACTAACATTTTATTTTTTTATTTTGTATCTAATATTTTAGTGTCATTGAAGGCTGAGTTGCTATATAGGTAATATTTTATAAGCTTGAGAACGTATTATTCAAAATTTTGCTTTTAATAATTTTTGACAAAAGATTCCGGAGTAACTGATCTATTTTTGTGTATTTACACTTGATAATAAAATGTAAATATGAGTAAATCAGGTGATGTCAAACTTCATAAAAAGCTACTACTCACGAAGAACGATTGTCTTGTTTGTTTGTGAAATCTCGTAAAAAGCTACTACTCACAAAAAACGATTGTTTTGTTTGTTTGCGAAACATCGTAAAAAGCTACTACTCACGAGGAATGATTGTTTTATTTGTTTGTGAAACATCGTAAAAAGCTACTACTCACGAGGAATGATTGTTTTATTTGTTTGCGAAACATCGTAAAAAGCTACTACTCACGAGGAATGATTGTTTTATTTGTTCATCAGGTCGTGCCTCACTTACAAACTGGACAATGATCTTTTACGGTACCTCAGAGGATCCCCAACCCTTGCTGAAAACTAAACTTAGATCTTTAGGGTCTTCCATATCAACAAATTTTACTTCTACCTCAACATTTCCTACTACTGAGGATGAATCATTACTTCCTTCTACTGAAAATATCATACTGCTGGATGAGGATTTCAATGATAGTGATAGCATTAACTACAATGTCAGCAGTTTCAACTATGACAACAATAGTACCAGCTGTAACTCCACTGCCTTTCCTGGCATGACTCAATCAGATCACAAATGCTCGGGTATCAGTAGTGTGGAAAAAAAGGAGTCTGAGTTTGTTGAAAGTGTTAGAAATGGATTTGTCTCAAGTAAGTATTTATTTTATTTCTTTGAGGTTTAATTTAGTGGATGGGATAGCCTAGATGGACCAATAGGTCCCTTGTTGTCCTTAAATATTATGTTAATGGTTTTTGGTAAAGTATGTTCAAATGTATTTTTCGTGTGGTAACGGTAATTTGGGAAATACACACTATTAGAGATGAACTGCTGAAATTTTTGTACAGGTGTTTTTATTTTATACTTTTCTTCAGTTTCCTTAAACTGGATATTTTTTATCATTTAATTGAATCCATTGAAAATGAAAGTAAATGTCTGAGCATGTTGGATTGTTGAATGCAGTCAATACATGAAACCTTTATTCCTGGATTTTACTTCACAAGCAGCAAGTAGTGATAAAAAAAAAAATCTCATTTGACATTAAGAAAAAAAAATCAAAGTCTAGAATACCCAGACCTGTCTGTATTACTTGCTAAAAATAGGTAATAATTTTATTGTTCTGTAATTTCTCTTCGTCATTTGATAAAATTTTCATTTGAAAGTTTCTTTAAGTAGATTTAAAATAAACAACAACTAATAAGAAACAAAAAGTATTAAAGGTTATTTTTAGATATTCAGTCATTTAATATTAAGTTTAAAGTCTAGTATTTTTAAAGCATTTAGAAGAAAAACTGTAAAATAAATGCCTAAATTATGAAAAGCTATTTATAATTACTACTAAGTAAAAGTTGATCATGGACAAAATATTGGAATATCAAACTGTTCATTAAGGTTCAGTTTATGTAAAAGATTTTTGTTCCTTGACCATTTTAAAAGCAGGATACAATAATAAGTGTCATAGAAATAACAATAATGTGTAGTCACTTTAACTGTATTTTCTTTTCATTATGGGCAAGACTTAAGAGTGATCTAAAATATTTTACTGTTCAGTTTAATAATACCCTCTACTGAACATACTCATTCCTATAGTCGTGAGGACGTTATATATAATGTAACATTCTATCCCATTATCTGTTGGTATAAAGAATAGCCTGAGAATGTGCTATGGATGCATGCTAGCTGGTTGCTTTATCTCCAGTCGGCAATTCAAAATTAGTGTAGTAAGTAGTCTTAGTAGCTTTGCTATAAAAAAAAAAAAATGTTTATAGATTACTTTTATTACCTGCTTGGAGTACATCAATATAGGCTCACGAAAAATATGAGTGATATTTATTTATACAGTACAATAAAACGTCATTCCTAAAGAATATCTTGGGTTAAAAGATATACTCAAGTCTTCATTTTGTGTGCTGCACTTGGAATGTTTCGTGGTTACTACATCGCATCACAGCTTTGTGTACCAAACTTGGAATGTTTGGTGGTTACTACATTGCATCACAGCTTGTGTACCAAACTTGGAATGTTTTGTGGTTACTACATCACATCACAGAATTCTCTATTTCTGTTTAATTGCTCAATCATGTTAATATTCAGAGTATGACTAAAATTGTTATAGCTCTAAGGCTGCTTGTTTGTATATTTAGGTCTTTAATAAAACAATATGTAGTCTTCTGCTACATTGAATGCTTCAAATACATAATGAATAATTTAATGATGATGATAATGTATTTTATTTCAAGACATCAGTATAGGTTTATAACACTATATCTCAGGGTTTACAAACTACAAGAACAAGAGATTAGAAGTAGTAATACACAGTCTTCATGGAAATTTGTGTGTAATAGAACTGGATGAATTCATTACCTATGAGAAGAGATTACATCACTTAGTGCCATGTAGATTAACTGATTATCTGAAATCCCAATTTGTATACTTCTGATTATTCCAACAATTGATTGATTAAAATTACAATTAAATCGATTGTCATGAAAATAATCAGATGATTGAAGTTCCCAATTTTTATTATTCCAATTATCGAAGTAATTGAAATATTGTCACCGCTTACTTACCCTTTGTTGTGTTAAAGCTATCTGCTACTGTTCCTAATTTTGAAGTGCTGATTAGAGAGAAGGATTTTTTTTTCTTGTTAGTTTGAAGAAAACTGCTAGTTAATGATCAAATACCACTAATCATCCAGTTCTAGTATTAATTGATTTTCACCTGCTGAGTATAATACTGTTCATGTCAAGTAATTCAAAGTTTTATATGAAATAACAGTTTGCTGTGTTGAATTGTAGTCAAGAAAAAGTAATTTAAAACCTAAAATTATGAGACTTATCTTGAGAAACTACCTATCAGTTCTTTAAAATTGTCACGAGTCTAATATAGGTTACTAAAAACTGTACTTTTTACAAGTTTCTGCACATGCAAAACGTCCAGTGATGATAAATGTTGTTTAAATAAACATTATGCTTCATTAGTTTAGACAAGTCTTTTTCCAAAAATGTTTCTAGGTGGTAGACATTTTATGAGAACAATTATAGTAACATGATTATCAAAATAGTATGAAAACTTATTAAAACAATCCACCATTATTTTTACAGAAGCTGTAAAGGTGCACGTCTAATTTACAGCAGCTTGTTTTACAGAAACTGTAAAGGTGCATGTCTAATTTACAGCAGCTTGTTTTACAGAAACCGTAAAAGGTGCTCGTCTAATTTACAGCAGCTTGTTTTACAGAAGCTCGTAAAAGGTGCACGTCTAATTTACAGCAGCTTGTTTTACAGAAGCTGTAAAAGGTGCACGTCTAATTTACAGCAGCTTGTTTTACAGAAACTGTAAAAGGTGCACTTCTAATTCACATCTTTTGTTGCACTTATACAATTTTCTGTGCAAAATACTTAAAAAAAAAGGCTTTTACCTTTCTTGAGTAAGTCACAGTTTCTTGTTATTAACAACAACAAAAAGAACCTCAAAGTTCTAATAGCTGTTTCATCTCAAGTACTAACTTTTCATTACTTCTCTATGTGTGTTTAGAATCCGACATAGGGGTACATCCTGTTTCATCAGTATCCTGGGATACGGTCTTCAAGAACATGGAATTACTAGAGAATGGTAACGGTTGCACTGCCACCAGTGGATGCATGTTACTCTGGTGCCTCTCTCTCCTCTCTATATGGTGGATGAATATTGCCGCTCACCAATAAGATCAGAATTTAGTCTCTGCTCTTTTTCTCCATCCTCTGTGTCCCCGCTGCTCATTGCATGTGCTAAAGTTTTGGACTTCTTCTATGATATGTTTGACTTCCAAATTATAATAGTAATAACAATACTTTACTGCCCTCATACTTGTTATTGTGCTTTAAGAATGTTTTGTTGCATTTAACAAAGAAATATCCACTGACTGATTTTATTGGAAGTTTGTTTTTTACAAATTGTTTTCTACATTTCTTAACCTTTCAGTTAAAGATGAAATGGTGTGGTGTTAATTCAGGGATTGTAGTAAATAATAGAGATTTCATATCATAAGATAGAGAGAGATAAAGTATTTAAATTGTTATATAGATTTTAATCTTTAAATATTTTTACAGTTGTTAACAGACATACCTACGTATATATATACACGTACATATATATATATTTATATGTGGTAAAAGTCTAATAAATTAACTGTATTTTCAAATTTAGCTTCAGTGTATGTTTGCGTGTATTTGGTGGTTTTCAACATTTTTATTTTATTTTATTAAATGTTTAAAACTATCTTATTGATTTTAAAAACTGTAGTCATTGCACTGTTTAAACGGCTTTCTTTCATTAATTCCATTTTTTGTCAACAGTCTTTTTTTAAGTACTGCAAGATTATTACAAATAAATTCCATGTATGTGAGTGATATTAGTTTTATGATATTTGTAAAACTATGATAAACAAATTAATAAAAAAAAATAATCTTTGAATACGTGTAAAATAAATATTGAACTTCACAGAAGTTTAAAAATCAAATTCCGTAGTTAAAGTGTGGAAAGAGAATATTAAGTTGGTTAGCTTGGATATAAACAAGTGTTGTAAAGAGAAAAAAAAGGCATATTTTTTTTTTTACTTTTAATATAAAATATCAAACTTATGTACATCTCTTATTAACATGTTTTTAACGGTGAAAAAAAATCCATTCAGCCCATCATGGTCACCCTTCATCTAGAATAATGACAAAAGGAATAAAATTTCCAACTGAAAAATAGCCCTTTCCATGAAAGTTTAAAACAACTGAGCCATGCGTGGTTTCCGAGTTAACTTGTCATGCAGATTGAAGGGTGTGAAGACTTTATGTTGATGAACACTCAATCTAATAAATGTGACATTCAATTCTATTCTTTGGCTAAAAAAGTCAGAAAAAGCCTTTGTGGTGGTGATTGATGCTGCCAACTGGCTGCTTTTGTTTTGGTCAGTAGTTTAAAGTTAGGAATAGCTATAACTGAATTCTAAGGGTCTCAGATCTAGCACTTTAGGCCACATCCTGATTATAAAAGTTACTGCAGTTGGTATATTACTATTCTCAAGCTGGGTAAAAGATCATACGCCTGTCTATGTTAATGTAAACAATTACAGAATCTAGGCATGCAAACAGTAGATTTAGTACAGATCAAAATTTGCAATGAAAGTATGTTAGTTTCTGCTCTAGTAATTTTGATGTAAAAATACATTGAATTTGCACAATGTGAGATTGATAGATATGTATTGTGATTTATTGATATATTGTGTAAAGTCACTTAATAGAACCTGCTATTTGAAGATCGTGTTTTTTCTGGAGATAAACCATTGAGAATAATCATGACCTAACCAAATATTTTTAGTTATGTAAAATTTTGTGACATGTACAACTTCATATATATGTGTTCTCATACATAAGTTATTCTTTTAGTGATGTTACAATTTATTTCATTGCAAGGGTTTTAAAAAATAGGTTTCTAAAAAGAAGTCCTGAAAACAACTGGTGTGGTATTTTTATAAATAATGACTTTTAAATCAAGCAAGTAAATATTCACACACAGAATTTTGTTTTTGTAGCAGTGTGCGTGTGAGAGAGAATATTATGCAAGATACATTAGCAACACAAATTGAAATTGTAACTAACCAATATAGTTTATCAGATTAGAGCAAAAGACTGGCATTTTTTTAATACTATTATTATCACAAAATTTGGAATTTCTAAGGTGTTAAAAAAGACTAAAATTAAGTAACTATGTATAAAAAAAACATGCATACATCAGACTAATTTTCAAAAATTACTTTTCCTATGAAACCAGTTACTGAAATTTGCATTTAAATGAACGTAGTGAACTATAATTTTATGGTAGAATACAGATGTCATAATCATTTTCAAAATACTGTTGAAACGATGTAAGATTTAATCAGACTCACTCCTAACAAATGTTAACCTTTTAATATTAAACCACTTTGGTGGTGTTTTTAAATATCAAAACTAAAGTTATTGTTTAGTGGGATAACTGATAATTTATACTATGATAACGTTATTTAGTATGTTTTTCTCGTTTAGTTTATTATCTGCGGTAAAATTATTCATTGTTTCTTAGGTTCGTTAAGAAGTAGATAACTGGAATATCATAAAACAAAAAACTTGTTTTTGTATAGTTTGTTATAATTTTGGTTGTTTTAAAAAAAGTTGATTGTTTATAAATTCCTAAGAATAACAAGAAAAATAAAGTAATATACACAATTCAAGTATTTTATAGATGTTTTATAGTGATTTTTTTAGTTTTATTTATTGCTCTTCTGCCATCATTCACCATTCTGTAGGGTATTTCGTTCCTCAGTTGGCATTTAACGAGTATTGTTTCCATATTAAAAAACTGACATGCTATAATATATGTTGTCATTACTGGTAACATGTAACAGTTTTGTTTTATGCCAATATATAAACATTTACTCCTGTCCTATAAATTAGTATAATGGCTAGGAATCTCAATGTTGCTCTAAGGTGGAAGTTTTTGTATTTTATAGGCCTTGTTTTTTATTAATCTCACAGTACATTAAGTATCAAAAAGAAAATCAAAATAATTATACATGAGTATTTAATATTGACTTGTAAAGTTAAATATTAAAAAACGCTGGTAGGCCAGGTGATACCTTACTATTCTTTATTCTGTTGGAATAACCAACAAATATATAGGTAGCACAAGTGCCCTGAGAAGAATACATTATAGAGTCTGTGAATATAATGCAATACTTTTTCAGCCTGGAATAATTCTGTAGAGCTTTTGACAGATATATCCAATAAAGACAATGTCTTTCATCCTGTTCACACATTTGTCTCTGATTGATTTTAACTTTGTTTAATGGAGTTCAGTCTCTTTCTTCGAACTCAGTCAAAGTTAGATTTACTCTGCAATACATTTTTTGAAGAAACCTCTGTGAAATCTTCCTGAGAGGTACGTTTAAGAAGCCCACATTGAATTACCTATATTGTGGGAAAACCACACATCTAGTTACTACCACCATGGTAGATACAGACCTAGAATTCACATGAAGTTACATCTTACATAAGCTTTACCTAGACCCTCCAAATTAACTTCCTTTACTAAATACTTAGTTGGAAGTACGTATGTTAATATTGCTATGGCTGTAACGGCCATTTCAACTACATAGGCATGAACAAAAATTAATGGAAAAGGTAATTTTTGATAGTGTATTTTACTTTACAGCAATATTTCACAAAAACGTTATGATAGCATAGGGGAATGACCAAACATAATAGGTAACTAGAGCAAAAGGAACTTAAACATATTTTTTTCATAATTTTAAAAACAAACTCTCAGTCCAGCCTACATGACAATATCTGGTATTAAATATAGGTCCACAGTGCACCTCACCAATCATATGGGTCATTCAGTAAAATTTGGCAGCCAATAATGTAATTTGGTAAAATTTGAACCTTCAGCTTGTTTATTATTGTATTTAAAAAAAAAGAAATTAATTACATTTTACTGAATGGTGCAGCATGTGGTTTACCAAATGTAAAATTATCCTTCTGTGACAAACTTAACAGTACATTGTTATTTAACTTACTTTTAAACTCTCAGAATTTACCAAATGGTGCAATCTTATTCAAATATCATTCCTGTAACTAAACATTTTGCATTTAATTGTTATTCATCATCATATTGTTCATTATTTAACCTGTGCCTTAAATATTAATCCTTTTTATTATTTCATTTGAGGATTTTGAAAATCCACCTGCAAACTTGAACTTTTAGTGAATACTAAGGAGCTTGTTTTCGACGGAAAAACACTTGCAAGTTTAATAATTAGGAATAATTGCCCTAGAGTTATATAGTTCACAGGTCCTCTTATTACAACATCTTGGTAATTCCTGCATAAGACAAGTTAAGTATATATCTCCTGTAGTGTTGTATTTTTCTCAGTTATTGGCTATGTTTTGATGTTAAAGCTAAAGATGTTCATAACTACAAAATTTTGTATTATTTCTCTCAATCAAGCCATTCATGAAGTCCGACATATTTATTGTCGCAGGTTTAAATGATTTAAATTTAAAGACAACGCTTAAAATGCACGATGAAAACTATTTAGCCGACGGTCAACATGAAAAGTTTGCATGTTTCGGTCGCTTTATAAAGAAAAGGTTTAACTCACTGTAGACTTTAAGGTTAGTACAAATGTTATACATAAATCATTTATTTCCAGTGTTGGCATCAACTAACCCTTTCTCTGTTTAGCAAAGAATTATTCGATTTTTAGCGCTTTGAGTATTTGGTTCATATGAAATTATTATATCAAATGGCCTATTTCGATAGCGTGTTCACAGGTGTATGTAAATCTGCTGTGTGACTTTTGATGAAAATTACAAAATAAAGACCCACACACACGCACTTAACTTATTGAAACAGTTTCATTTAAAATTGGTAGATGGTCTCTGGTGGACCTTCCAAAAGTCGAGTATACATGAATAACTAATACGAATTAAAGTTCCAGTTTGGAAACCGTCCTAATGCCGTGAATGAAAGTTAAACTGGAGAGAAAGTTAGCAGTCGATATTAAACAAAAGTGACGTTTAATGTCACGCGTAGCACGTGTACTTTTACACCAGAAGAACTGTTCGTGTGCCGCGGCTCAAAATAGTGGAATGTTTAGGCCTACGCGCCCATTTATTGCAAAGTTTATATTCACTATTGTTTTCAACCAAAAAGTGTTTTTATTTTTAAAAATAATTATTTAATAAGAACGAATATTTTGTTACATGTTTTGGCCAGGTTTGTTAGGGCCATAAAACGTTTTGTTTTTTAACTTGTATATTCGTACAATTGTACTGCGTCAAAGTTTAAAATAATTTTACAACGTAATGATGAGTTTTCTTGTTTTATCTAGTATTGCACTTGGGCAATGTGGTTATTTGTTATAATGTACGGTGTGTGTTATGAAACGTTTCTAAGGAAAGTGCATGTATTTATGGTGCGATCGGCTAAAATTTTCGATTACGGAATGGCATCACTGTTCTCCTCCTCCCCCCCTACCGGGCCCGGCATTGCCAAGTGGTTAGGGCCCTCGACTCGCAAGTTGTGGGTCGCGGGTTCGAATACTCGTCACACCAAACGTGTTCACCCTTTCAGCTGTGGGGGCGTTATAAAGTTACAGTCAATCCCACTATTCGTGGGTAAAAGAGTAGCCCAAGAGTTGGCAGTGGGTGGTGATAACTAGCTGCCTTCCCTCTAGTCTTACACTGCTAAATTAGGGACCGCTAGTGCAGATAACCCTCGTGTAGCTTTGCGCGAAATTCAAAACGAACGAACCCCCCTACCGGCAGTATCGCGAATTTTTGAAGGTGGCTTAAATATACGCTTGTTTGATATGTTTAGAATTAGGTGTGGGCTTCAAACATCGTTTAATCTGGGTTATGACAAAGTTTGTTACAAAAAGAGGAAGGAACTACAAATAATGAAAATAGAGAATGCTTGATATAAAACAAAATAAATATTGTAAATGTTATATTTACAAAGTTGAAAGACTGACACGAGTTTAGTGGGATAAAACAATTATGAAATAACAATTGAA